GAAAACTCTAATACACTGTAAATGCAAAAGACAAAAGCTCTTCTCTTACAATATTGAAAAACTGCTTCTTCTGCATATAAAAACTTGCAACCATAGGCTACGTTTTAAGAAAAGAAACTGGATGCTCCCAGCATACACCATCAGCTAAACAGACTTGTACCTGTTTCTGCAGCACCAAGAACATCCATATTATCCCGAATGGCAGAAGGCAAGGCTAAGGCTTGAATGGGAGTTGGAGCACTAAACCCCAGGTAGCTCAACGCCTGCAACACTGGCTCAGGTACAAACAGGTCTTTCCATGCAGACACATCAGCTTTTTGATCAGTTGAGGCAGATAAAACTTCTGTTGTCCAGTTTTTGACTTTTTTAGAAGTAGCTACTGATGGAAGGGCTTCCTGTGCTTGAAAAGCCTTGTTTTTAGGTACCTTCTTTTTCTTCTTCTTTGTAGTGTCTCTTCTGCTTGACATGCTCTCAGTCACTGGTCCATGGTCTTCATAATTAGCTTCTTCAATTATTTCATTACACCTTGCCTCTTTAGCAACCAGCACATCCATTTCTGCTGCATTATGAGTATTGTCTTTATCTGTTTGGCTTCTCAAATCTTTGTTTTTCTTTTTCCTTTTTGGAGGGACAACAGGTTCTTCCACCTCCTCATTGCCTTCTTCAGAAGCAGTCTCAGCCTTTCTCTTCTCTTTTACTTTCCCCACTTTGGAAGAACTTACTAACTTGTAGTCTGTGAGTTCCTCCAAGCACACTATATCTCGAAACTCCTCCTCAGCAAATAGATTGGGGTCAATCTGCACGGTTTTCCATTCTCCTACTACTTCAATGCCTTTTCGCTTCAATTTAAAGGAAGACCTAAATCTTCCTCCTTTTCTGGCCTTCATTTTTTATCTAAAAAAAGAAACCAAGGGAGGCAAAAAAAAAAAAAGAGTCTTCAAATACAAGGACTGGAGACCACCTTGATATTCAAGCAAACGGGAGCCCAGGGAATAATTGTTTCTTCTTAAAATATATTTCTCAAGATATAATATAGTATTCTTATTTCTTCTTTAATTATATCAGTATCATTACTTATATATTACTTCGAGCTAGCATATATATAGCTACAGTATAACAAACTATAATATAGCTAAATAACTAAATATAACTGTAACAACTATTAATATATAATACTATAACAGCTATAATATATACTATAACAACTATAACAACTAAACAACTATAATACAATAATATAATATAACTAACTAAACAACTATAATACAATAATATAACTAACTAAACATAACTATAACTATAATAATATAACTGTAATATAACTAAATATAACTATAACATAACTAAATACAACAGGCAGGCCAGGCCTCCTGCGTCCCTCCTGGAACACCTCCGGAGATACAAGCAGAGCCGCTGGATAAATCCCCGCAGCAGGCCGCGCAGCGCTCCCGCCCCGGGAACCACCGGAGCCGCGGCGGGCCCAGCACGGCCTCCGCCGCCACACGCGGGAGCTCCGGGCACTTGCTCCTTGCGGCCCGCGCGGCGCTTACCGCGCTCAGGAGCCCCGGGGCGGAGAGGGGCGGAGAGGGGCCGAGAGGAGCCGAGAGAGGTGCGGAGAGGGGAGCGGAGAGGGATCCCCGACCCGGCTGCCGCTACCGCCGCCACCCTCCGCGTGCGCGCCTGGGCGCCGCCATTGCTGCATGACGTCACTGGCGAGCGACGTCACTGGCGAGCGACGTCACGGGCGCGCGGCATCAGGCGCGGCGCCGGCCGGGAGCGATCCTGAGGGAGCGGCCGCGGGAATGGCGGCCCGGAGCCGGGTCTGGACCCGCGCCCGCGGCTGCGCCTCAGCGGCACTGCCCCGGCAGTGACCGAGGCTTGTTCTTCGCGCTCGCTGGTGTGCTCTTGTGTTAAGGCCTTTTGCGGGTGGAGTTACGTGTTGCAAATAGCTGCAGGGAAGGAGCGAGCGCCACCGAGGTCGCGGCAAGGCTCTTTGTACCTCTTGTGTGATCCATGCGCTTCCCAGCTGTATCGTGCCGTAGAAAGACAGCGAAATAAGTTGTAATGGATGGTTCTTATTTCTTATAAAGGGCTGGCTGATGTTCAGAAGAGCGTCTTGCTGTGAGGCGGGGAGAGAGTTAAAAACCACGAGCTTTGTGGGTGATAGGGACTGCGACAGTATGTTCGAGTACAATTACAGCAACACTTACAATTATTTCTTCTACTTGGTATTTGCAGGTCTTTCCCGGCTTTGCGAGAAGATGGGAAAACAGATGGTTGTTTTCTCTACNTTTTTTTTTTTTTCAGTTCCAGGTAGTCATTAATTATGGATGCTTTTTTTTTTTTTTGAGAGAAAAGGAGAGATTTCTGCCAGGCTATTTTTTTTTTTTTTTCCGAGAGGAATGTAAACTACTTGTTACCTCTTTCTGTTCATGTTGCTTATAGATATGTTCTGCTACCGTGTGCTATTCATAGTGCACCAATGGTGTGAAAAGTTTTCACCTGAGACCAATCATATTTCATCTTAGCGACCTTGGTTATAAAAGAAGAACACTAGTTGTTAATAAGGGTTTTCACTCTTTACCTTCTGATGTTAGAGTCATTTTCATTCCCATCCTGCCTCCACAGCAACAATTAATGACTTACCAATGCACAATATGTGGAATTTATTCCAATTCATATTCCATGAGCAAGGCTAAAGAGCTTTTGATGCTTGGTCCTGATGTTCTGTATAAGATGAGTTTAAATCAGTGAGTCAGAAAGTGAGTTCAGAGAGCAGGAACTCCCCTGTAATTCATTTATGGTATAGTTAATGTAAAATATATCAGTGTAGTTTATTAATTATCTAATTATTAGAGCAGGATTAAGTGTGTTTGTTGGCACTACTCAGTCTTGTTAGAATTTTTCCTAGGCTTGTCTGGACAGAAATATTTACATACCCTTGAGTTTATGTGCTTGTAAATATGTCTTGTGCACTTTAAACATGTCTCAAATACTTAGAAATCTCCCCCAAAAATGTGCAAAATACTGTTCTTCCCACATAGAAATACCAGGGCAACGTGCCTTTGGAGATGGAGATAGTGCTGCTGGTTTTTGTGTGTAGAACAGATCCCAGTGAGTAAACAGCTCTTTCTGTGGCAGAGAGGACACGTTGCTGGAGTTGTCGTGGTGAGTGGATTTGTGGCAGAGAGGGGAAGGTCAGGCTGCCAGTCAGGAGGGAGCAGTGTCACTTCTGCCCTCACAGTGAGCATTGCTGCCCTGTGAGCTGAGCCAGGGACTTTGGCACGTGGCAAAAACCCCCACCTCAGCTCTGGGGCACTTGCAGAGTTCAGATTCCCCCTTCTTGGTGTGCATGTTTACGTGTTTTACCTGATACCTTTTACAGTACAGCCATCAAACCTGATTTATGTAGTACTGAGCTGGAGGCAGTGATGGCCAACAGGACTGTCTCTCTGATGGGAACTGGGGCTGCATGCTAATGCCAGCCTTAAGGAGAGGTCTCAGCACTCTTCATTAATTCCTTCATTAAAAGTACCCTTCCCTACAGGTTGCTTAGATTCAAAACAAGTGACAAAAAAGCTTGTTTACAATATTTTTCATGTTCTCTCTTCTTATTTACTGCCTATAAGCAAAAGTAAATTTGCAGAAGCAAAAGAAACAGATTACTCTGAAATTTTGGTGTGGTTGACTTGCCACCGATACTGAATAAAAATAATGAAAAAAACTTGGGCAGAAAAGTTCTTAGCTGTTACTCCTAGGTATAATTACGTGTCCTGTTGTAGTTGTGAACTTTGCAGCTTTGTCCTGATGAAAGATTTAATGTGGAAATGATTTGCCAAATTATGTTGAATTATGCTTTCTAATATAACTGTGGACATGTTTTTATGGGAGATAGGAGTATTCTGATTTTTTTTCTAAGAATTCATGTGAGGGTTGCAGCTGATTTTCTTCTTGATCAGTACTGAGCTCTATATTCTAGACTGAGGGACAGAATTATAGGCCCTCCAACTCAATTTGAAAGAAGGGACGTGCCTGAAGCAACAAGCTTCAGAACAGCCTACACAGACGTGGTGACTTTCTCACTGCCACAGTGTGAACTGGTTGTACAAGAGCCATTGGTTGAGTTGCTTTGAAATGGGATAACCAAGGGAACTAAACATTTGCTCAGTATTACAGTAGCAGTAATCTTTCTAAGCCTTTGTAACATTAATCCTTCTGAGCCTTTGTGACCTGAAAGAGGCCCAGCTTTGGTATGTTGTGACAAGGCTTTGTCAATGAGTTCAGCTTCGTGTCCTAACAGAGTCAGCTGATAAACTCCTGGTAAATACAATTCCATTATTGACAGTACAGAGTGAACTCTTGGTAAAACTACAAATCAGACAAATGAAACAGGTCTGCTTTACACCCCTAGGGCGTCTTTAGATCAACAGTTATTTAAATACTAGGAAATTGTAAATTGAAGATAATAACCCGTGTTAATAAGTTAAGGAATTATGTCATTTGCTTGCATAACTCATGTCAGTGCATGCATATTTTATTACTTTATCAATAGTTTCCAAGGTATTTAAGCCAGTATGCCTGAGAGCCCAAGAGAACTTGAAGGGTTTGATGTCCTCATTACAGAGTTTTACCTGGTAACAGATCCTGTTCTTCCCAGCTGTAAATTTACATTCCTGCAGATCAGTAGCCCAGGGATTGTGGTTTGGTCCCTTCTGTGCAGTATTACATAATAGATACTATATGTTTTTTCAATTAATATTTTGATTTTTTTATAAAATAGTGAAGACTTCTCCTAAGAATGCTTAAGGCAGAGAATGTTTTGACCAGTACCTTTAATTCTTTAATTTTGGGATTAGTGTAACTGAATTCAGCACGAGGAACAGTTAAATGTGCGTGTCAGCAACTGATGTAGGCTTTCACTTAGTAATCAGATTCTTTGGTTTCTTTTTTTTTTTTTTTTTTTTTTTTTTTTTTTTTTTTTTTTTTTTTTTTTTTTTTTTTTTTTTTTTTTTTTTTTTTTTTGTGTCTTGCAGGAATGTCAGTATGTGCTTAATTACTGATTTGGATAGCTATTTCTGCTGACAAAAGAATGTCACTGTACTGTGATTTATATTAATCCTCACAGTGCACTGTGCACCTGAAGAACATGCAGCTGCTGGCCAGTGGGAGACCTGATGCCTCCTGTGCTTTGCAGACTGTAAAATTTGTTCTTTTTTATTTTTTGTTATGTAGCCAGGTGAGGCTGCTTGTCCTGGTCCTGAAGTGGCAAGGTAAAGCCTTGTTTCTTTGTTGTCACTTTCAGAAGTTCTGGAATACTATTCTAGGACTGACAAAATCTTACGGCATAGCACCATTTGTCAAACCTCATTTGAAAATACATACCCCTTTGCCTATGCTGCCTTTTTTTACTTTCTCTCTGTTCTTCCAGCTTCACAAATGCATTTCTTACTCACTTGCATGAAGCCTTTTGTCAGACAGCATGCTGCTCCTTCAGCGAATGTGTTCATAAAGCCAGGAGAATAAGATACTCTGTAAGTATGAGATTTAAGAGTACTGGCATGTTTAACTCTAGTTTTAGTACCAAAGACTTTTTCAAGTACAGATTTATCAAGGTGAAGATTTTTCTGTGTGATTGAAGAATAGCAAAGACAACTCCATTTAATGAGAGAAACATTTGGAATGGTTGCAAATGCAGTCAGATGCACTAGATACTTCAGAATGTATCTTCAAGGGAATAATGCTGAAGGAAGTTATGAAGATAACAGGAAATTAAATACAAGTCCATATTGATTAACTGTTGCCCTGTTCTTTTAAAGGTTTTAAAGTTATTTTAGAAGTTTTCTATGCCTTCTGATGTTTACGTATTTCTACTAGAGTTCTCACACACTGTTCATTTAAATAATAATTGTTTTTCATTCTCCTTTGTGAGATGAGAGAATTAATAGACTGTTAGTTTGACCAGTGTGGTTAGAGAAGTAACAATTTCTTCCTCCAATCCACTATCACTTTTAAAATTCTATATATTACAAAGTCAAAAATAAAACTTCTTCTTTTCCTTCTTTTACATCCTAATTGAGTGTGTGAGTTATTTCGTGTTGTAGTACAACAGTTAACCAAGGGGAAATGGGAAATCAAGGCATGTCCCTTAAGAGGGTAACTGGTTTTCTGGGCAGAAAAATAAAGCACATGTAATCTGTCTGGACAACCTCAAAATATTTTTCATAGGGGAAAAAGGAATAGCATGGAACTTCAAGGGGAAAGAAGCTGGCTAAAGAGGAAGGGAAATGCACGTTTCTTTTGGGGGAGCACATTGGTGTGTATATTGATAGATTAACCTATCAGCTGTATGGAGTTTGCTTGAGTTTCTTGAAGTCTTGTGGACTACTCTTATTTAATGAATAACTGTGATACAATATTAAATTTGCTGATGACACAGTTATTAATACAAAGGAGAATTATGATACAAGGCCGATTGAAAAGACCTTGAGGACCAGTATAATTGGATGAATTGTATTATCCAAAGTACAGCACTATTCAGCTAAAGCTAATACTGAGAATGTATATCATTAAGATGGGACTTAATTAATTTTAGGTCACTGTGGATGACAGTAGTAATTGACCATAAGATTAACTGTGAGCTGCCAATGTTGTATATTTGGTAAACTAACTCCTGTACAGATATTCATTCTTTGCAAGAGGCATTATTTCCTAGATATTTTTTATTTTCAATACTATATTCCGATCACCTTAATTCAGGAGAGGTGAAGTCAAAGTGCAGCAGATGCCATGGGAATTGCTAGGGTGGTCAGGAGAATGAAGAGCCTGTTTTAGAAGTGAAAATGAAATTCTGAGTTTAGCTTTTTTTAATCCAGGATTGGAGCAGATATGACTGCAGTCTTTAAATACCTGGAAAGGAAGAATAAGGTAAAGGACACTAGCACAAGAAGAAACTTGGTAAACTCACCAACAGTAATTTTATGTAGGAAATCTTCAGTTTCTATGGCAACTAATGAGTAAAGAAGACAAAAAGTTGTTAGTTTTAAAATAATATTTGACATGAGTATGACAGTGTTCACGTTTGTCATAGCAAGGAACTGGACTCATCAGTTTCCTCTTATGGAGGAAGTTCCAGTTTTTACAATAGAAAATCATTCAGTTAAACTTTGTAAAGTAGTTGAGTATTAGGTCTTACTGCCAGGTAAAAAAAAATAATATAAATAGCTAGAATATTTGAAGGAGAACAACACTTTCTGTTTTCTCTGTTGTTATTCTATCTTTTTGCATGTGCTTTTAACTACTTTTGGAGAGAGGGCAGCAGATTAGACACTGTAGGAGCACATTACTAGTTCATAAAGAAAGACAGGGTGAGCACAATTACTGCAATCTTACAGATTTTATACATTATATAAAAATAAATTTGAGGATCTTTTCTGTGTTCTCGTAAAATATTCTATTTGATTTTTTAGATCTTACTGGAGGGAATTAAGTTACAGGAAAGAATATGGGAGACTAGGCTACAGATGAAAACACATGGAACACAATCCAGTGCTTTTCCCTTTATAACCCATTTATTTATATAGCTGTTACAATGAGATGACTGGAATTGCAAAAGAACAATCAAAATTTTTCTGCAAATGACAATAGTGAAATGAAGCAACAGTTTCTTAGCAACAAACTGGAAAATACGCTAAATAATATCTTTTTCCTACTGAGGTTTGTGTGTGCTACATTCAAGCATTGTTCTGAAGTAGATTCATATTTTTGAGCATGTTTCTTTTATATTATTCTTGTTACAGGTTTGCCTTGACACAGAGATTTTCTGAAGAACCACTGTTCATGGTTACGTTTTCACTTGAAGTACAAATGGAATTAAAACAACCTTGTTTTGTGAGGCTAAGGGATTAGATTGAACATCAAAATTGCAATTTAAGAGTCTGGTGGACTATAAAAAACAATTCCAGTCAGAGGTCGCTCATTTGGAAATGGTGAGCAACAGCTGCTGCAGCCTTGGCTGTCTCTCAGTGGTGGTGAAGAGACAAAATTGTAAATTGAACTTCTGCATACTTCAGGTGCCGAGTCTTGAGCAGAACTGTAATTACACAGTGCATAACAGACATCATGTACATTATGAAATGGTATTTATTTTTCTTTGGACTATTAAATGAGAGAAAATGGGAGATAAAGAATGACTTCTTTTTTTTTGTTTTTTTTTCCCCCTTAACGTAATTAAAACTTACTTTGCTGAATTTTTCCTTCTTTTTTTGGTTTGGCTATTGCATGAGAAATTCTGGCTCTTAATCAGGAGCACGCATGTTTTGCCTGAAAGCACTTCTTGGCATGTCTTTCTGTGTCACCCAAACCAGTTCCTTCATATTTCAGCTGATTCAGGCATTGTGATACATTCAGAGACCTTACAAGTTTTCAGTTTCTCTGTGAATAGTTTAATTTGCAGGTAGATTATTTTGGTAAACAGGTACGGTAAGAACAGTTTCCAGAAGGCAGACTCCTCACTGCTGGGTAGCAAAGGAAAACTGTGCATCTGTCCAATCTGACAAATCACGTCACCCAGAATCCTTAGGTAGAGTCAGAGTACCTGAGGGATCCTTCAGGTACAAAACCCTTCCATCTGTGTTGTCTTTTTTTTTTTTCTTTTTTTTTTTTAATCTTCCCCTGGATTGAATTTAGAGCTCATTGCTTTAGAAGGCATGAATAACACTCTTTTTCCACTAGGTATAGGTGCCACTTTCCCAGTGCTCTGCAGCTGTCTTCCTCAAGGAATGCTTATTTGAAATCAGCCTGGTCCTGTCTTTCCAAGGTTACACAGCTCCTGTGTTAAAATGAAGGTTCCATTTCACCCTGGATTTCACTAAAGCAGCATGAAATAGCTCTTGATTCCTGAATACAATAGCTATGACAAGGTTGGAATGAAGCTGAGAGTAGAGTTTTATTTGAGAGAAGAGACAAGTGGAAAAGGGAGGAGCTGAAAGCAGCAGCAGTGGAAGGGAAGCCATATGTGACTTTAATCACAGATGAGAATGAGAGACCACTTGCCTGCAGGTTTATTATCAGAGGGGATTAATTTTTATGTATGCGGTTTTGAAACAATATATGTAAGCTTTCTTTCTTCTGCCAAATGTGTGGGTCAAAATGAGATCTGTTTATATTTAATCTAATTCCTTCTGTGTTCTTTTTTCTAGTCCAGTACTGTATTTAAAAAAATATATATATTCTGCTTTTCACATTTCCCGAGATATTTGTAGACATCTTTGACATATCTATAGATTCTAAAGTTAATGGGAATCATGTCTGCTCTGTGTTTCCTGAACTTAGTTAGAAGGACAGGTTTTTAAAGGCTCTAAGGAAAAGATGTTTTTCTAAATGTTTACACATTTACAAAAACTCTCTTCCTTAGTGGCTTATAAAGTTTATGTAAAATATAACATGAGAAATCAGCCTAATTGCATATTTAAACTGTGTTTTTCAGTCTTTAAAACTGAATTCTGGATTTCTTGTTTAAAAACTGCATTGAGTTCTTAGTTCAAGGCATTCAAAAGAAAGTACCTTTGATCTCAGAAGATCTCTGTGATTCATGAGAACTACTTGCAAGGTGAAATAACCACAGATTGGCTGTGAAAGAACTTGCAAAAGGATTTTCCTAACTAACTGTGTTTGGGATTTCAGTATGTTCTCCTGATACTTATCATTGTCAGAAGCCTGCATGCCAGGACTCTGTATTTGAGGAGGGAACATTGTCTAAAACTCTTTTTTTATTTCCTCTTGTAGAGTTAGTTCCTTGCCTACTCTGAGAGGTTAGGTTCAGTTACAGCTATTAATTGTATTTGCTGTCTAATGATGGTCCCTGGTTAAAAAGATTTTGCAAAGATGTTCAAAAGAGTGTTTTTCATTTTAATTCATCATCAGGCCTTAAAAATTCCAAATGGTTTTTGTTTTATATTACAGAATACTTTAATTATTTATATGTAAATTGGATTAGATTTTTCTGCAAATAATTCTGTTGTACATTTGAAATTACTGGAGATCCTCTAATTTTTTAATGTTTTACTGGTTTATCTGAGCATAGGATTTAGCCTAACTGGTAGACAGAGAAGTAACACGTAGGGGACAATGTTTATTTTTTTGCTAAATAAAAGCTGAGGTGCTTGCCAGTCACAGAATAAAACTTAGTAAGATTCTGGGTAATATACCACATAGTATCATATAATCTTTATGATTTCTGGAATTACTTTTCATCTTATTTATAAACAAAACTTACCTGGTCACGTGGGTATTTCCCAGGGATAAAAAAACATTACACCCCTCAAATAAGCCCTTGTGAAATATTAACAGATTTTTAAATTTCTGGTCTTAGTGTGGCTGTTGTGTTTAGATAAACATTGCAAAGGCCACTGTCTAGAGGTCTGGCGAATTACTTATGTCAGTAAATGCTGAGTCTAACTCTGTATGATTCTTGTCTTGTGTGCATTTTGCATCACTAACCCACCCCAAAAGCTCTCTTACTAAGTTTTTGAAGATTATCCATGCTTATTTGAATATGAATCAGAGGTAATTAGCATACTTTTATTTTGAAAAAAAGTACTCTCCCTTAAGCCCCTAAGGCAATCCACATTTGTGAGCTAAAATGGTAAAGGCATCCAAGGCCTAATTGCATCTATCAGGAAAACTATTCCTATTGGAAATCTGTTGCTGCTGTGAGTGTGAGGGTGTGTAACCTGGGTCTAGAATGCAGAAGGTGAAGAACGAGAATTTATGAAGAGTGTAAGTGATGTCTTCGTCAGAATTTCACAGTTTACTGCCAAATAAGTAATTTTTTTTAAACATTAATATAAAAGCGTTCATTGGGGGGGAAACCTGTTTTGGACTTTCCATTAAAAACAGCACTTGTTTCAGTTTCTCCGGTGTAGTTCTCTGTGGCACAGCGGTGAGGCGGGTGACACGGGTGGGGGTCCCCCGCCCCCCAGGGGAGGGCCGGAGGAGCAGCGGCCGAGGCGCTGCCGCCGAGCGAGCGAGGCCGCCCCGCGGCCGCGGGGCCGGGCGCTGAGGGGCCGCGCCTCCCGCCGCCGCCCTGCCCCGCTGAGGCCGCGGGAGCGCCGCGTTGCCCCGGAGACCGGCTCGGCGGGGCTGGAGCTGTCCCGGCCGGGGGCTGCGGCGCTCACCCGGGGAAGGAGCCGAGGGGGCTGCGCCGTGGGACGGGGGCGGGGAGCGTCACTGCACCGCAGCGACCGTCCCTCCTCCCGGGGCGGGCGGGGAGGCGGCACCGGGCACCGCGGCGGGGCTGCTCCGCTCCGCGCCCTGCCCTGCCCGCCTGCCCGCCGCTGAGGAGCGAGCCCGCGGCCGAGCGCTCCGCCCGGCCCTTCTGGCGCCCGGCGGCACCCCGGTACCGCGCCCTCGCCGCGGCCAGGGGTGGCCAGCGCCGAGGGCAAACTTGGCTGGAAACTCCCGCCCGCCGAGGACCGGCGGCCGCAGCGGGCTCTGGGGGCTGCGGGCGCCGGCCCCGCCGCCTGCCCGCCCGGGCGGAGCGGAAAGTTTGGCGGCGGAGGCGGGCGGGGGCGGCGGCCGGCGCTGCCGCAGTGTGCGCCCGGCCGGGGCTGCTGCCGGCCGCGGGAGCGCCCGGGGCTTCGGTCCTGCCGCCCTCGGGGCGATGTGAGGCTCGGGGACAGCGGCGGCTGCCGAAGGCTTTAGTTGTTACATGCGCCCAGTTATCTTCTCCGAAATGGATTTTAGTCATAGCAGTATTTTTGGATACATAGAAGACCTGCAGGAACTAACTATTATAGAGAGGCCAGTACGCAGGAGCCTGAAGGTATAACCTCGAAAAAGAACGGTGCTTTAAAAACCATTTTAAATTGTGTCTGTTTTAATTGTGCACAAGCGAATAGACCTTTTTTTTTTTTTTTTAACAGCACTAGGATATGAAACATTGTCGTCAGTCATTTTAGAATAAACAATTTCAAATTCTATATATCAGGGGTTTGATGTTTTCAATATAAGATTGAGATGGGAACAAATAGACTAGCTTGGGTCTTTAGATGAAATTATATGCCACTTGTTTAACAGTGATAGTGTCTGACTTGAAACTGTACTTCTCTGACATTCCATCTTTTCCTGGTGAAAGATTTATTTGATTGAATTTGGAGTGTTGGCTAGAGGTTTCATTAATAAATTCAGATTACTCATTAAGCCCTCCCTCTGTGTGTGGGGAGAAAGGGGTTGTTTTAAGACTAAAACAATGAAGTAGTCAGGCATTGTAAACTCATAATCTCTATTTCACATTTGACAGACGCCAGAAGAAATAGAAAGATTGACAGTTGATGAAGAACTCAGTGATATTGAAAGGGCTGTTTATCTACTCAGGTATTTCCTAAAATGTTGCTGTGCACCATTGCTGACCATCATGTTTGCATAAAGCTTTTTTAGTGTTTTAATCTTTACTCCTTTAATTTTCTGTCTGTTAGTAGTTCTTTCACCATCAACTATGTTAAGCATACAGGCAAGATGAAAATAGATACAAAAATAGATACAAAAAATATATACAAAAAAATCACCCTGTAATGGGGTGTGTGTGTGTACATGTATAAGAATTTCTGAGCTTTTAATATGTTTCTCACCAGCACACAGTTGTTCTTAATCATCTTTTCCCCTGCAGTTGATTTTGCAAGATTCCCTCAGTGTCAATGTTATTAATACCAATAATTCAGGGAGTTCATACTCTAAGCAAATATTCACACATGGGCAGTTAACACAGATTGGTAACAGAGCTGTTCTAGCATCCTTTGTGTGTTTGGACTTTTCAGATGAGAAAACTTGAGAGATTAGTTCTGTAGTTTATAGAAATTACTATAGAAAATACTGTGTTAATACTTCCCTCTGTTCTGGTTTTCATCATCTTATCTCCTTCTTGTTGAAAGTATTTATTTGCAGCTATTTGAATAACTTAAATTTGGTAGTTTAAAGTATGAATCTTTCAACTACAGTCTAAGTCATTTTTGAGAGTAAAAATGTTCTGAGGGATTTTGAGTTGAATATGCATTTTTAAACAATACCTAGTAATTGGAGGACCAGCTGCAGCTCCCTCTCAGTTTGCTTATTCTGCTATTTTAAGTGCTTTTCTAGTCTATGCTTGTGTTCAGTATTTAGAATAGATATTCTTGGTGATACAGTTTTCT